GCCTCGGCCTCCCAGAGAGCTAGTAAATATTTAACTTTTAAAAGCTACTGAGATCTCTGTCTACTTGGGACAATTCAGTATCTCATTTTAGAAAGCATCCCTCTATTTTTCTCTTGGTTTGTTTTGGAAGAGTATGATTTCTGTTAATCTTAACTCTCCTCCATATCCCCAAAACTTGTAGCATTGCTTTTTATCAAATTAATTGTCACTTTTAATAGACATGTATGAAGTTTAGCTGTTCATACTTCAGGTGGCAGTCCAGGTAAGATTTTAAGTATTGCACTCTCAAGTAGGTATTTTAGTTCCAGTTAGTCCATTGAGTAGTAACCTGAGGCTCATAGAATAATGCTACTTGAGTGACTGTGTTTTTAAGGTGAGCTTTGACTGAATTCCTGACTCCATCTTAACTAGACTAAGTTTTCTTTGAAAAGGTGTATGTCACTTAAAATATAAGGGTCAGTTTTTTTCCTTGTTGCTTTTGTAAGAACTGGTCTTGATTCAGCTACTCTATAAATTAAACCAAATATGAAATGGACTGGTTTTGGTCAAATGGTTTTGGTCAGAGATTTTTAGTGAGTAGAGGTTTTATGAGAGTGCCACTTCTTTTCCAGACTTATTTTGGTTAGTCAGTGAAGTCTTCCAAATTATATCTCATAACACTTAGACAGAGATGGTCTGTAAGGGTGAGAGAATTATATTAATTTCTTTCTTTTCTTTCTTTTTTTTGGGACAGGATCTCACTCTGTTGCCCAGGCTGGAGTGCAGTGGTGTAATCACAGCTCACTGCAACCTCCAACTCCTGGGCTCAGGTGATCCCCCTGGCTCAGCACACATCCCCCTTCCCACCCTTTGCCAGTAGCTGGGACCACAGGTGCACACCATCACACCCAACTAATGGGTTTTTTTTTTCCAAGAGATGGAGTCTCACTCTGTTGCCCAGTCTGATATTGAACCCTGGCCTCAAGTGATTCTCCCACCTTGGCCTCCTAAATGCGAGCCACCACACCTGGCCTAATTTTATTTATAAATTATACAAAGTGCTGTAGTTTGTCAATTTGCCTGGTCAATCTGTATTATTTGATAGATAACTTACTAGTTAATGTCATTTGATTTTTAACCCAATTTTCCTTCACTTGGCAGGAAACTAATATTAAGTGACTTTATAAGCCTCATAACCCTTGTGATTTTTTTGAACAGACATAGAAACTCTAATTTTAGATGATAGTGAAGAGGAAAATGCTTTATCAATTTTTGAAACCAGTTGTCACTCAGGATCACCAAAGAAACAGTCATCATCTGCTGCTATACATAAACCTTACCTTCATTTTACAATGTGAGTAATTTATCTCAAATTTCTTTCAATTTAGTGTGATTATTTGATGCTTTTCAGTTAGAATTATAGTATATTTTTACTTACGGTTATAACTTTGAGGACTTTGTTTTTCTGTCGTTCAGACACAATCCTGGAAAACTTTTACTATGTATACTTTTTTGTGTGGTAATTTGGTCAACTAATTAAGTTCTTTTTCCACAAGTGAAGAATCTTATCTATTTATTTACCTTTTTTAAAGTGATTGTGTGTGTGTGTGTGTGTG